CGCCATTGTTTGTTAGAATGCGAGAAAAGTCTATTAGTGGCTTCAATATTCTGCAAATTGTAAATTTGTGGCGAAAGAAACCATGAAAGTGCTCAAATATTGCTGCAGACTCCGTGGCACCTAATGATAGCGCAAATTAATTTATTTAGTCTTTGAGGAGACTCGTTCACCGATGCAGGATATATATTGGCCAAGTAGCACTGTTTACCTTCAATACTTCTCGTTGAAACGTTCCTCAGATGTATCAATCAATATTGTTGTGTATTAATTTAAATTGTTTTATTGTTAACAACAAAGGTGGCAAAAAAAGAAAAAGAAAGTTGTATTCCGTGACTGTCTGATAATTAAATTAGTTCTTGTTCATCGGTGATAAGAAAATTTACGTTTTGAGAAAAAACAAAATCGTTTCTCTTCCATTTCTTCGTCAGATATTTAACTTTCTTTCATTTATCTCCAAAAGACAAGCACATCTTCAATGTGTTTCGGAGAAAACAAGGGTTTCATGTTCCATACCTTTGCGAGGAGAACAAAAGCATCAAGTCACAAAGTTGGCTCGAAGAGCTAAATTGTCACGTTTGTTCAACGTATTGTTGAATTTAAAATGACCGAAAATCATCGTGAAACACCAGAGAAATATTTAAAAGCTGTCTTGACAAACAGTAATATAATTGTACGTAAATTATGGACCTTGAATGAAAACGCAACCTTGAAACATACACACTGCCGAGGGGAAAAGCCGCAGCAGACTACCCAGGTACACACAAGCCGGAAGTGAACCGAGCAAGCGTGAATACTTACGGGACTACCGTGACGGAGCTATCAATTGCAGTGTGCACTATCTAAGAGCTTTGTAAGTGTGACCCATTTTTCCAAGTCTGACTCATTTTTCCTATTGTGACTGATTTTTAATGGTCTGACCCATTTTTATATATGTAAACCATTTGTCAGAGAGTGATCCATTTTTACAAGTTTGACCATTTTTCTAAGAGTGACTTATTTTACCAAATGTGACTCATTTTTCCAAATGTGCCTCATTTTTCCAAATTAATGTGCCCCATTTTCCCAAGTTTGATCCACTTTTCCAAATGTGACCCATTTTTCCAAGCGTGACCCATTTTTCTAAGTGTGACGCATTTTTCCAGGCGTGATTTATTTTACCAAGGGTGATCGATTTTTCTTAAATGTGACTATTTTTTCCAAGTCTGACCCATTTTTCCAAATGTGACACCTTTTCCAAGTCTGACCCATTTTTCCAAGTGTGACTCACTTTTCCAAGAGTGACCCATTTCTACGAACTAAGTTTGATCGATTTTACCGAGTAAGACCTATTTTTCCAAGTTTGTGAGCAAGTGTGAGCCACTTTTCAGAGAGTGATCCATTTTTCCAATGGTGACCCATTTTTTTAAGTGTGACCAATTTCCTAAGTATGATTCATTTTTCTAAGTTTGATTCACTTTTCCAAATGTGACTCATTTTTCCAAGCGTGACCCAGTTTTCTAAATGTGACCCATTTTTTTTCAAACGTGGTTCATTTTTCCAAGTTAGAACTATTTTTCCAAAAGTGACTTCTTTTACCAAGTTTGACCCATTTTTTTCAAATGTGACCCATTTTTTTAAGTATGGCCCATTTTTCCAAGTTTGACCTATTTTACTAAGTGTGACCGATTTTTGCAGGTGTGACCCATTTTTCCAACTGTGACCAATTTTTACAATTGTGACTGATGTTTTTAAGTGTGACGTATTTGTACAAGTTTGATCGACTTTACCAAGTGCGACCTATATTTTCAAGTTTGACCCATTTCTACAAGTTTATTCGAATTTACCAAGTGTGACCTATTTTTCCAAGTTTGACCCATTTTTCCAAGAGTGACCCATTTTTCCAAGTTTGACTCATTTTTCCAAGTATGACCCTCCTTCCCAGTTTGACCCAGTTTTTCAAGTGTGACCCATCTCTCCAAGTGTGACCTATTTTTCCAAGTGTGGCCTAGTCTGACCTGCTGACCGAGTTTAGTAGATATGACTCATTTTTCCAAGTCTAACTTATTTTTCCAATTGTGACCGATTTTTAACGGTGTGAACCAGTTTTTCTTAGTGCGACCCATCTTTCCAAGTGTGAACCATTTTCCAAAGTGTGGTTCATTTTTACAAGTGTGACCCACTTTTCTAAGTGTGACCTATTTTTAAAAGTGTGACTGATTTTCGCTGGTGTGACTCATTTTTGCAAGTGTGACCCATCTTTCCGAAGTGTGACCTATTTTTCCAAGTGTGGCCTATTTTTCCAAGTCTGACCCATTTTTACAAGTCTGAGCGAGTTTTGTAAGTGTGACCCATTTTTTCAAGTCTGACTCATTTTTCCAATTGTGACCGGTTTTTAATGGTGTGACTTAATTTTCGAAGTGTGAGCCATTTTTCAGAGTGTGATCCATTTTTCCAAGTTTCATCCATTTTTTGAAAGAGTGACTTATTTTCCAAGTGTGATCCATTTTTCCAAATGTTACCCATCTTTACAAGTGTGACCCATTTTTCCAAGTCTGACCACTTTTTCTAGGTGCGACTCATTTTTACAACTGTGACCGATTTTTGCAGGTGTGACCCATTTTTCCCGGTGCGAACAATTTTCCAAGTGTGACCCACTTTTGCAAGTTTGATCCATTATTTTTGTGAAATGCTCTTGAGAATATGCAGACCTCCCAAGAGCATTTCACAACAATAATTTATGCAAAATAAAGGAAAGGGGGGGGGGGTGCAAACAGCGTGTATTATGAGAATTGGTAAACAGGGAATAGCTATAATCTTTGGCAATTTAAATGAAATGTTATGACCACCCCTCCCCCTATTTCAATAATGAAAAAATGGCGCATTTTGGGTTTAGCGCCATTTCATCATTGATTCGGGGCGGGAGGAGTGGTTTTATTTCTTATTTCAATCTGACCAAGATTGTCCGAGGTCCATACTTTCATTACAAGAGGCTATCTACCTGAGCTAGTCAGATCACATTCCAGAGGTTGAACTGAGCTGTTTTTGCACGCTTGATAACTAAGGGAAAAGAACGTTAGCCGAAAATAATATCCAGCTGTGAACTCTGTCCGCGATTCAAACATAATTAAAATAACATCACAATTAGTTTATTGTTGGTGCGTCATGTTCTCGTTGTGTCCTGTAAGTGCCTGTTTAAGCATTGTCCGAAAGTGAAGCTGTCTCGTTTACTAAGCCTTATATGACTAATGTGTATATTTTTGTTACTATTGTGCGCCCAAAAAAAAGATTAAAACTTGTATTTCTCTGATTAAGCTCGCTAACTTAGTTTCAAATCAAAATATAATTTTGAATTGTGATATACTCAGTACCTCGACACGATGAATGATGTTTTTGCACTACTGATGAGTGGAAATATGTGGTGTTTACGTGGATGGTTCATTGATGAGCGGGAGATAGGGTTGATGTTATGACGACTATAAACGACAAAAACGAATAACAAAAAAATGACTGAGGCAAGTACCTGGGCTTGCTTGTTTACTTGGCAAACTTTTTACTAGCTATTGCCCTGGGATACAACTATTCAGCTACCTAGAAATACCATAAATTGTTTTGTGATTGTTTTGTTAGGTTTGAATTCGCGTTTGGACCTTTGATTGAATTTCGAAGCTCAGTGCTTTGTCCTGCATGGCATGCTATGTACTGCAGCTTTTCGATCTCTCCGTTCGCGCGCCTTCGGCGCACAGGAGTTCCGCCGTAGAGCAGCTGGAAGGTTTGGGTGTTTACTTAATATGGGGGTTTTGAGATGTCAGCGTTAAAGCAATTGGCAAAACTGGAATAAAAATGTTACCCTCTATCAGTACAGAACACAGCGAGGGAATATGATGGTAAATGAGAATAGAGTTTCCATCAGCGAGGGAGGAACTTCTTGTTTTGGAAATATACACACCTGCGGTTTAGTTTTGTTTTCAGTCGAATAAACTTAATATAATTGTCAGGACGCAAACAAAATGAAGCGGGCTGTGGCCAGCTTAACACACTTAAAAGCTACAAATCCATACGATCTGTGCGCAATTAAAAGTTATGTCAGTTTTTTAAGCTGTCAAATACCCTGGTATAACAATATATGCATCATTTTTTCTTCATTTCCAGTTTCTTTGAACTTTGATAAACTGAATTGTTCATTTAGTTATTAATTTTCTCCCTTTTATGCATCGTTTTACATATACATTAATTTATTTTAGTTAACATAATTTCTACTGATCACCAAAAACCCCCTCAGGGGGGTGTTGAATAAGGTCTAATCTCTCTTGTCATCTCTTTCTCATGAGTATATTTTTTATCGCGATTCCGTATGCTTCGGCAAGTTCCGTGCAATTTTACCAAGGGTGACATGAATTGAAGTACATATTGACTCACAATGTAAACGTAATAAGAATGTCATTTATCCCATTATAAGGGCAGGGCAAACGTAGAAAGAACAAGTTCCTTTACCACATTTGGTAGCAAGAGTGGTCAATTGAATGAATTAAAGACTCGTATTATTTGTATTTTACGTCTTTTTTAAAGACTGTTTGGAGTTGGGACAGTCGTTAATCTCGTCAAGGATGACATTAACATATATTAAAAGCAGATGATCATTGTTTAAAAGTAAACTGTCAGATCACCATCTAATCGGTGTGGCTAATATAACTTGAGTTTCCTGTTGCTGGCGATTTTAATGAGGTAACAAGGCGAGCTGTATTTGAAAAAAGCCGTAACTAGCAAGGAACTTGAAAAGTATTTTAGTAACCGGAAGCTTGAATCAATTACATAATTTCTAAAACTTTCTTATTATTTGCCGATTCAAGTGATTCAAGTGAAAATGAAAAAAATAAAAAACCTTTGCAAAATTAAAAAGAGAACCAATTTGCTAATGAACATTAGTATTATGGCCTAATTTCTCTACAGTTAAAACAAATAACTCCCACTAATAACTACATAATTCATGCTCCATAAATAGTGTTCCCTTCCTGTGTATTTGCGTGGGAGAGACATGGTAACCCTATCATAACAAGCGCACCTCCTACCTGTCTGTCTTTTCATCAAGAAACGCCTACCTTTTGACACCGGCCAGCGACGCCAGGGAGGCCTCGCAAAAAGAAAGTAATTTTAGCATGGTCTTTACGCGCATGCTGTTAGTACTATTCCATGAAATGCTTTATTTTGACCAAATCACTTCTTACAGTTACCAAGAGTACAGCTCGTAATTCTGACTTAACACTAGAATAACCTAAACAGGCGTGAATATGACAAGTTCCTCTTGAGGAGGCGTGTTTTCCTAAGCCCGTCAGTAATAATTATATTACACCCACTTTGCAAATTATAATATAACTTGACCAATAAAATTACTTTGTTACTGTTGTTCCCCAACCTAAAATAAAGTTACAAGTAAGTTAAGTCGCTGAATCTATCAATAGTTTTCAAACTACAACGATTGTCATGATCTCGCCTACGGACACATTAACTGCAGAATGAATTAATAGGTAAACTCTGCACATCTGGTTTTTAATTAGAAGGAGCCAATAAGCGTCAGTGTATAAAATTTCCCTTTCAAATGCAGCTGTAGTGGCTAAATTTGATGCACAATAGCATTCACAGCATAAATAAAACGCCGTTAACCCGAGGATCAGTTGCCTTATTTCCACCTTGCGTACAGTTAAAGCAGAGTATTTTTCAAGGGACTTGTCGACTCTGCAATGTACTTAACAGCTTTAAAGGTAAAGTATATCTAAACCCCTTAATTCATCTTTTATTGTTCAGCACCAGTTGCAGACGAAGTTATGCATATTAAATCTTTAGTGTATATACTTAATGTACTCTTTGTCCTTTTCTACCTTACAGCCCAGTACGTTTACAGTTCTCTTCATGTTTTGCCTGCTTGTGAGGGCTTCGTCCTCCGTTGGCGCACTTGATAAGAGGTCTGGAGACGAGCATGATGTCATAGGGTCCTTTTCTACCGATCCGGAAGAGGACGAAATTATCCTGAACGAGGAAAACCTTCGTCCGGAATATAGCCAAACAGAAGACACGGCAACCGATGACGACTTCCCGCTACAAGGAATTATGAGCAACCTCAGGGAAAAAAGGGACAAATGCCGTAAGCCTGGCACAACACAAAGTGTAGATACACCATATACCACAACAGGAACTGGTCAACTTGTTTACGAGTGCAAAGATCACTGCAGATGTAAACAGTGTATTAAGTGTGTTCCGAGCAATAAGCCGGTTGTACAGGCACGATAATATTGTCGAGTTGATAAGACGAATTACGGATCAGGGCTATAATTATGAGACTGGCGTAAAATAACATTGCTTGTAAGATGTAACTAAATAGAAAACTGAAATAAATAAAGTAAATGAAGATCATGCCTTGTAACCCCAAATACATTTGTCATTAGAATCAGCCTGAAGTTTTCCCAGGTTAAATGTTGATATAAAAAGTCGGTCAAATCTGCTGGCTAACCGACAATCGACACTAGTGAGACAATGTCAGATAGTGTAGAGTGCAATTGATAGCTCTGACACGGTAGTCCCATAAGTACTCACGCCTGCTCGGTTCACTTCCGGTTTGTATCTACCTGGGTAGTCTGCTGGGGCTTTTCCCCTTAGCAGTGTGTATGTTTCAAGGTTGTATTTTCATTCAAGGTCTAAAAATAACGTACAATTACTGTTTGGCACGAAATCTTTTAAATTTTGCTCTGGTGCTTTTACGTTCATTTTAAATTCAATAATACGTTGAACAAACGTGACAATTTAGCTCTTCGTGCCGACTTTGTAACTTGATAGTTTCGTTTTCCTCGCAAAGGTATGTAACACGAAACCCTTGTTCTCTCCAAAACACACGAAGATGCGCTTTTTTTGGGATAAATAAAAGAAAGTTAAACATCTGACGAAGAAATGGAAGAGAAACGTTTTTGCTTTTTCTTAAAACGCAAATTTTCTTATTACCGATGAACAAGAACTAATTTAATTATCAGATAGTCACGGAATACAACTTTCTTTTTCTGTTGCCACCTTTGTTGTTAACAATAAAACAATTCAAAATTAATACACAACAATATTGATTGTTACAACTGAGAAGCGTTTCAACGAGAAGTATTGAAGGTAAACAGCGCTACTTGGCCGATATTATCCTGCCGTCGATAAAGCCAGGAACATGGAAGATTCTGGAACATTCCGGAACATCGAATAGTTCTGATAATTATGAGAAAAATATGTAAAATTAAATTTTTAAAACTGAAATAAACAAAACTAAACTGGTATGAGCTCGAAATATGAAAAGATATTATTGGGAATAGGGAAGTCGGTAGGGGAGGACTAGGGAGCGTTGGGTATTCATTCAACTGACTACAATGGGCGCAGGCTCCTCTTCTTTCCCGCCAAATGCGTCACGTCACTTTACAGCACCCCATTGGGTCTCCTTTTTTGATCCCTGATTTCTTCAACATCTGAAGTGTTCGTCTGAGCATCATACAGTTGCTTGTTAAGTCAGTAGCCATAGTTTTGTCACTGTTCCGTCTTCACGTTGCTATTTATCATCCCCAGTTTCGTGTTCGAATGGCTCGATAGAAAACTAAGTTTGATCGAATGTCAGATAACGATCTGCACGTGAAGTTGAACTAGCGATGAATAGATTATAGCCTGCGGTAAAATTGTTTTCAATTAATTAAGTGTTAACTTGCACTGGACAAAACATTTTTTTTAAAGTTTGACCAGCAACCCAGCAAGACAGCGCGCGCGTCGCCAAATGTTTTTAAATTTTGTGTTTGTATTTGTTTACACTGTCATCAGAGNGTGCGGTTTTCGCATGTCTGGTTTCCTTTGGTGGTGTTCGAATGGCTCGATAGAAAACTAAGTTTGATCGAATGTCAGATAACGATCTGCACGTGAAGTTGAACTAGCGATGAATAGATTGTAGCCTGCGGTAAAAGT